TTTTTAAGCTGTAAAAGCATAATCTGTGTGTTCCTCATGAAGTCCTGAAAAAACCTTACCATTCCAAACCTTATTTGTGTAAGTCTATCCAAAACCCTAAACCCTAAACCCTTAACTATAGCTTTTTATTTTGCTTAAACATCAATCCACTGGTCTTCACCGTCTCTCCCATTTCCTATCCCTATGGCAGTCCTATTTCCTGTGTCATTCCTTGGATCTCCAAGGACACCTCTGACCTGTCCTCCTTAAACCAATGAAAAATCAGTCTCTGTCCCTCTATAGTCGCTACTTTGCCACTGGCCAATACCTTATTCTGAAATTTCGTGAGAATAGCCTTCGCCTTTTCAGGGTTTATTGCTGCTTGTATTTTGATCCTCTGCCATTGAGCTCTAATGTCTGTTTCCAATAGATTATAGAGCGTGGTTCTGGCTTCCATCCTGGTCATCAGACTTTTGCCGATCACCCGTTGACATCTCCGTTTCCAGATAATCCACAATGTATACTGTCTCAATAGCTGAAAGATGTATTTTTCACTCTCCTTCCATGCCTTAGGTACTTCTCTTCCCATAAGCAAGAGCCTTGTGCTACTTGGAAAGAGAACGTCCGTAGTACGCTCCCAAAGTATACCGGCCGTGGCCCATATGTATTCTGCTTCCGTACAATTAAGTAGACAATGTACCATCGTTTCCGTACAATTAAGTAGACAACAGGTAGGCAAGATCCGGAGTGGCTTATATTCCATGTGGCACTTCCGGTCAACGTATGGTTATATGAAAAAAGGAATAGGCAAGAACTCCCGTGTTTTGTTCCAGATCCGTTGTGCATTTGGACAGTTTAGCAGGCAGTGCTGCATATCTTCTAGTGTTCCTTCCTCGCAGACCGCGCAACTGTCGTCAAAGTCCCTTCTAGCGATTTCTGCCCTTCTCCTGCTGAGCCATGTGTTAACTGGCAGAGCATGATAGTAGATGAGCCATTGCATACTTCTTATGCGGGTTTTCTAATGGCGAGAGGTATATGCCAGTTGAACTTTTCGATGTTGCCCAGGCAGCCCGAGGTGTGCTTCTCCCAGCATTGGACTAGGACAATATCCGTGTTCACTGATCTGTGTCTGAGTTTGTAGCCAAAGCTGGTGGAATAGTCCAGGATGTTGGTGCGCTTCTAAGTCCCCAACGGTGTGGATCTTGTCTTCCATGCCCATTCCACTGGGTCAAACTCCAGATCCTGCAAGGGTATTCCGGGTTGATAAGCTCTGTAATCGTCATCCTCGATCACTCTGATTTTCCTGAGGAGGCCGGTTCTAGCCGTGACTTGGGCCCGGAATGATTTCGAGACCCTGCTCAGGTTGGACCCCGGCTGTTCGATGTCGTGTATGGACCATAATCCCCAGTCTCCCTCTGGTCCTGTCGACTTGACATAGACC